AAAAAGACCCACTAAAAAAAAACAACAAAAAACAAAACGATTATTGAATGGGACTTTGTCATTAATGCCACTACTGAACGAACTTTTTGAACTATCTTAAAGGAGCTGCAGCCGGCAGGTCGCTAGACCAGCAAGATGCAAAGAAAAGGCAACCATGATGGTAATAGACCCTCCAACAAGGTAACACTAACGATTAAGGGCATACCAAAGTTCAATAAAAGAGCAATATACAACACCTTGAATATGTGGAAAGCAGAAAGTTGGATGTTCTTGCTAGAATCCTGCTCAGATAAGCCAAAAATATGGAAAAAGCTTGAGCATCCATGCCAAATAATACTAGCACCAAGTGTTGGACATATTAGATGAACACAAAACATGGTATATTAGTCAATACCTTTAATAGAGTCATCATTACTTTCAAATTTCGAACCTCCAGGATGTAACGCTTCATTATTTTAGAGTTTGGAGATTCCAATAAGAATTCTGATAGAAGCTATAAAAAAAAAATTGTCATCAGAATATCTTATAGTTATGTATTTGGTCACATAAAAGGAGATTAAAAAAGCTGCAACGAGAATGAACCTTCAATGATTGTCTTCTAGTTACATAATTGGAAGATATTAGGAGTGTTTCATACCTGTCGAAGAACTGGAAAATATTCTCTCATTATATAAACACAAAAATGAAGTCATAAAAAATCAAATAACTGTGACTTTCTGGGAAATATTTCGGCATTAGGGAAAGATAAACTCAGAGAAACAAGTTAATTCTACCCTAGACAAGAAGGACCCTAAGCAATATTCATAGCTGTTGTTTACGTAACACTATAAAAGCTGTCCTTGAATTTCATCGCTTTTAATTAACATTGGGGCTAAACTGATACGTTTATGAAGGAATGAGGATGAAAAAAATGGAAGTATGAGGATCAAGACGTTTAAAGTGGCGAAATTTAGAGACTAAGTAAAGTTTAACCTAGTATACATATAAAATGGTCAAAAGGAAAGAAGCAAACATACCTCATTGTATTGGGCATTCAAGAAGTCAGAAACTATATTTTCATGTTTGGTAAGTAGGTCCTGCCAGAAATCACTTGTTTCAAGTTTGACTATGCATATCAAATCTAACACATTTTGCATTATGAAAAAAGAAAATATAATATCAGCAACGTATGTCTGACCTTAAAAGTAGAAAATGCATCCGAAGAAACATCAAAATTCGGTAACTCCACAAACTTGAAGAACAATTCAAAACTTGCAGACTCCAATATGTATCTGAGAAATCACTACAAAATAAACTGTGAAGAAGTGAACTTGACTCTTAGAAACGTAAATGTGAACTTTCTCATCTACTAGTGAGAGTCTCACGGACAACAATTTGTAATGATTGGAAAATCACACTGTTAAGTTCTCTAAACAATGTCATATGTGTAACCTTATTCATATTACATTCAGTTGAAATTCAGAAGGTCAAACATTCTAAAAGTTGGGCATGTATCCAAAACAGTTATTTTTATATTCCAAATAAGGATCAAAGTCAAAAGGGTTTAAGAGTCATGAAAACATAAGAGCTTCTCTTATGCAATTACGTTATGGATTATTAAATATGAAGAATGAAGGAATATCAATAGTTAATGCCAAATAATTCAAGGTGAAAACTGTCAAATGTGTAAACATGAGGTTCCTAGACTGTGCTAGTATGGCCATAATATGAGCAACAAGTCTTTCCAACTCCATAATTGCATAATACTCTTAGTAATATTGTCACTTCTCTGCATTTTAGATTTGCCTTTCATATATTTCAAAGTAGACTTTAGCACAGTATTGAAACCTTGACAGTCAATGCGAAAAAGAACACAAATCTTACTTTGCGAGTGTTGGGAATTTGATACATTCCCTCAACATATTTCCACAGTTCACGGCAATTTCCTTGTTGTCATAGCTGCGTGTAACAAGTATAAGGGAAAGCAGTAAGCAGAGAGCAAATGGTAGTATTGAATTTGTAGAAAACATACCAGGTATTCAGGTAATGAAAACATCTAAGAAATCATATAAATGGTATAAGTTCGTTAGTTAAATAAATCTGTCAACATAATCATCCCATTCTCTACAACAAAAAGCATTACTTTTGCAACTCTGTACCTCCCTATTCAGCAGAATAAAAGATTCATGACTTGGACACAGATATCAACTAATACAGGAAGTTATATTCTTAAACTTACCACACGACGAGAAAGTCTAACAACTCAAAATGGTTCTCGATGTACTGTACACAGCAATAAGTGGAGTCAACATTTTGTTTCAACAATATGGACCAACAATGGACGAGGTCCTTTCTTGCCTACATTAAAAAGCATTGTCAATCTGAAGACTGATTAAGATGTACGTTCTGCCAGGCGATCAACTGCGAGAATTGTAAGATATAACTTACTTCCCATCCCAGGACAGGCAATTTGTGAATTAGAAGATCAATAACACCCTCTTTACAAATCTCCTGCGTTAGCTGCAAAACTTGATCCGCATTGGGCTCAACCTCCGCGTCCCCAATGAGCATACATCTCATAGTTACGAAGTTCTTCTCAACTTCTTCCATAGCCTGCGGTAAAGGATGATTTATATGTTTAAAAAACCTCCAATTTGGAGAGGAAGCAACCCGATCAAACAATTCCCATAAACCTAAAGAACAACACCAGATCATCCCCAACCGGAAATTCCATTTGAAAACGTGCTGAAACAGTAAGCGAATTCGAGGATATGAGACTAACCTTCTCGAGAGCTTTAACTTCCACAACGGTTTTGGTATCCAGGGCCATAAGGCTGTCCTTGATGGCTTTTGCCACCTCCTGAGGGGTTTTAGGCCTCGATGGCTTGAAGAATGAGAACGACATGATCTATAGCCCAGATCAAGCTCCTCCCGTCGTTCCAAACTTTTGCCCTAGCGATCTTCTGTGAATTATTCAGACTTTGCAGAAGCGCAACGAATCGCTGACAAGCATAAGCGCCGGTGGCCGGATTCCTCCTCTTCCTCCTTAAGATTCTCTGTTATTCCGTACTCAATTGTTGTGATCGTGTAAAAATCTGACGGAATCTTCCACCAAACATTCACATTTTTATCAAATCCAGGAGAAAAAATCGTCGCGTTATTGTTCCCACGTATGGCGTATGCTTACGAAATCTACGATGGAACTGAACGAGAGAAGAACAATGCGGACTGTTTGGTTTGTGAAATTAGATGATCCTACCATGGATAGAAACAGCCTCCTCTACTTCTCCCGATTTGAAGCGACGTCGTTTTGTCTTATGATTCGTTTTCCTTATTGCGATATGTCGGATTGACCTAACGATTGTCGTCCTCTGTTTTCTACTTTTCTCTCTATTTTTTAAATGCAGTTTAAAATTGATAAACAAATATAAATAATTTCAGGTAGAGAATTCCAAAATGGGATCAAATGAAAGTTTACGAGGCGAGGACACGTGGACACATGGCTTGCATGGCAGTTATCAAGAGAGACGAGGGGTATTATGGTAAATCACTCCTTTCCTTCTCCAGCCAAACCGCCGACTCCACCGATCCCCCAACTATAAAGGCTTCCCTCCGGTTTCCCTCCCCGATATTTCTGCTTCTCTCTGATGCTTTCGAATTTCGCTCTCAATTTTCACCGGCGAGGAGATTGAAAGATTATCCATACACAATGCGAGGCCATGATTGGATCAATACGGCGCTACCCGATGAGCTGATCGTTGAGATCTTTCGATGCCTCGATTCGAAGCTGAGTCGCGACGCTTGTTCCCTCGTCTGCAGGCGTTGGCTGAAGCTCGAGCGCCTCAGCCGGACCACTCTTCGAATCGGCGCTACTGGTAGCCCCGACCTCTTTGTTCAGCTTCTTGCTCCCCGTTTCGTCAATGTAAAGAATGTCCACATTGACGAGCGCTTAGCGATTTCTCTCCCCCATCATCCAGTAAGCCATCAATTTTTACTTCAATTGCTTAATTGAAATTTCTTTGGTTTTATGGACGATGCTGTTCTCAGTTCGATGATTTTAGAATTGGAATTTTCGTGAGGATTTGATTTTACGTTTATCTTATGTGTAATTGAAGAGTTTGACTCGCTTATCGAGTTCTCTGGAGAGTGAACTAGAATTTGAGAACGTCTTTGTTGGGGGATGGTGGGTGAATTTAAGTCAGAGGATAAGAGAAAAGTAATTGTCAGAGTTGTTCAATGTTACATGGATGACTGTACGCGTTCGATTTAGGTCAATCTATCCCTTTATGCTGGAGAGCTCAGGAAACAGTCTTATACAGGGAAGTGAAATTCATAATTAAGTTGCGTGAGTCAAAACTTTAAAGTTTTGATTTCACTGAGAGCTAGGTGTGGCGTTTTCTATTTCTCAGGTGATGGTTCTTGTTGCGGCAAGGTCTGCAAAGTTTGCGCCTGCTGAGTTTGAATATCTTTTTATCTACTTTATTTTGTGGCTTGAGTTTGAATATTTTGTTGGTTGAGTTTTGGATGATACATTAATTTATTTTTTGAGTAGTTTTTTAGCTTGATTTTGAGGAGGATATTACTTTCACTGATTGTTCAAGTTCAGGATTTAATTTGGTGAAATTAAAATTTTAAGTGTCAAAGTGAATCAGAGCATTTTAAATCTTTCGTCAGAATTTTATAGGAAATGTATATGCAGGGAAGAAGACGTCGCAATGAGTCTAAACCACACCGTGCAACTGATGGTACTGGGTCTGAAGGTGTGCTGGAGTCTTCTTGTCTGTCAGATGCTGGGCTAATTGCTCTCTCTGTAGGTTTTCCAAACCTTGCGAAACTGAGCTTAATTTGGTGCTCTAATATTTCAAGTCAGGGTTTGACATCCCTTGCTGAGAAGTGTAGATTTTTGAAGTCGCTGGATCTACAGGTAACTCTCCGCTTAGTTTTATATTTAAGGAAGAAAAATCCATAGATCAATGGAACATGAACTTTTTGTAGAATTGATGACCTGAATACACTTAAAGATCCTTTTTCTCATTTTTAAAACACTTAGTATGGAAGTTTCCAGATAATTGAAAATTCTGTCCTTGGTCTAATTCTGCTGCCAACCTACTGCATTCAGTAATTATCTTTGTGGAACTCATTTCTTGTGGTAGGCATGTTGTGTCCTTTTTTTTTCCCTTTTTCTTTTAGTCTTCTTGTTTTTCGTAACTGTGGGTGCCCATGCTGGGTTACATGTAAACATTTGGTGACAGAAAACACATACATATTTAATATACTTGATAGGGGGGTGGGCATCATGGCTTGGCAAGTCCATGTCCTTACATCTAGTCGTTTGGATATCCAAATGGCTTCAGAAAAGGCAAATGGCACAAGCTGCTTATACATGATAGCTGAGTAGGCAATATATAAGCATACCAGCAGAATGTTCCTGAGTCAGGCTTTTGACTGGAATTTTGTAACGAGATGGGCTTTCTTCAGCTGGAATTGCTAGCTGAAGTCTAGCTTGGCTGAACTGGAATTTATTTTAGGATTTCCTAATTCCTGTGTCATGAGGCTTCTATCAATAATAATCATAGCTTCACTAATACCTTGCACCCATGCTTCTTTGTCTCAAGGTTACTTGCAATACAGGTCAATGTCCTTTTTGAGAAGTATTTATTCAACTCTGATATTTTCCAGGGTTGTTATGTTGGGGACAGAGGTGTAGCTGCAGTTGGGGAATTCTGTAAACAACTTGAAGATGTAAATTTGCGTTTTTGTGAAGGGTTAACTGATACTGGTTTGGTTGAATTGGCCCACGGTTGTGGGAAATCATTGAAAACATTTGGTATTGCAGCTTGTGCCAAAATAACGGATATCTCATTAGAAGCTGTTGGTATGCACTGTAAATATCTGGAGTCCTTAGCGCTAGATTCTGAAGTCATCCACAACAAGGGGGTGCTTTCTGTAGCCCAAGGATGCCCACTTTTGAAAGTTTTGAAGCTACAGTGTACAAATGTCACAGATGAAGCTTTGGTGTCTGTAGGCTCTTTATGTCCTTCTCTGGAATTATTGGCTTTATACAGCTTTCAGGAATTCACAGACAAGTAAGTAAGATTCTTTTATAAGAAATAAGCCCTGCCACCCCCCCACAAGAGAGAGAGAGAGAGAGAGAAAGAGAGGAGGATGACCTCATTTTTTTGATGTTCTATTACCCTTTACTGAGCAAGCAGCGGATTATTTGAAGGCAATGGAATTTGGGTTTTTTTCCCTCTTGATCTAAAATAGGGATAATATGCATATTAATGGTTGACAGGTACCAACACCAGGAAGAATCTCGATCTCAGTATTATTCATTTATTTTTACCGACCCAAATTTTTCTAATGATTCAGGGGTTTACGTGCCATTGGAGTAGGCTGCAAGAAGTTGAAGAATCTCACCTTGAGTGATTGCTATTTCCTGAGCGATATAGGCTTGGAAGCAGTTGCTGCTGGCTGTAAGGGACTAACACATCTTGAAGTTAATGGCTGCCACAACATTGGAACCATGGGACTTGAATCCATTGGAAAATCTTGCCCGTATTATTTCTTTTCAACTTCTTCTGACTATCTATCTAGAGTAAACATATGAATTTGTCTAGAATTCTTATCTGCAATACTTGCATTACCCTATTTGCTAGGGGGCTTTTTGTGGAACTATTCTTGTTTTATATGGTCATCAGGGCTCACTTCTGTTTAACCACAATTATTCTTCCCCTAGTGACTATCTGTTCTTTGATGTTTTTTATTGAATCTGTCTTCATTGTTCCCCTTTTTCAGCCAGCTCACTGAATTAGCTTTGCTGTACTGCCAAAAGATTGTGAACTCTGGTCTTCTTGGAATTGGTCAAAGTTGCAAGTTCTTACAGGCACTCCACTTGGTAGATTGCTCGAGAATCGGAGATGAAGCAATATGTGGTATAGCCAAAGGATGCAAAAATTTGAAGAAACTCCATATTCGTCGATGTTATGAGGTCTTCATACCTCTCTTGTTTGTATACTGCATCAATAATATCTAATGATTATTACATCTCATAGTTTTTGCATCAAGGACCAGTCTTTTTTTTTTTTTAATAATTTCATTTTAGTCTGATTTATGTTCTTAGCAACATGGCTGGATTTAGTTCAGCAGGATGGCTAACCGAATTCCTTCTCTTTTTGAAAAAGAGAAATGAAGAAACATTACTATCATCCTTAATATTCTCTCAGTCGTCATACATTGCAAATTTTGAGTTTGTATATAATAGTAGAAAGAAACATTACTATCATCCTTAGTTGATTGTTGGCTTTCAGACGTCATAGAATTTGATTCGTATCAAATCCTTTTCATTTTTCTCAATGAAATTTGATTTTCATCCCTATTTATGTCTTGATCTGGTATTGTACGATATAACTATGAATACTATTTGTTAGGAACCATTGACCGTCCTCCAACTTCGTAAAACAAGTTGTATGCGGTTGGGTTTTATCAATCTGCATTGATTATTTACATTCTAGTGGGAAGCAAGAAGAATAACTATTAATGATTTTTTTTTTTTTTGAGATAGATTGGAAATGCAGGAGTCATAGCTATTGGGGAGAATTGCAAGTCCCTCACGGATCTGAGCCTCAGATTTTGCGACAGGTATGCTACCTTCTTACACAAAAAGAAGAGAGAGGGTAAAAAAGAAGAGAGAGGGAGGAAAAGGAAAAACAATTTTCCTGGGAATTTTTCCTCAAACCTTTTTTTTTTTAATCTCAGGGTTGGTGATGAGGCCCTTATCGCCATTGGCAAGGGTTGTTCCCTTCATCAGCTCAATGTTAGTGGGTGCCACCGTATTGGCGATGCTGGAATTGCAGCCATTGCTAGAGGTTGTCCTCAGTTGAGTTACTTGGATGTGAGCGTTCTTGAGGTATGTCCCTCTATTTATCTCTCTTAAGGTGGGATAGGAGATTAACTTTTCAGATAATGTGCTTTATATAATGCATCATATATTTGGCAGCAATTTCTCCTTTCCACTTGGCCTCTGAACTAAAGCTTCTCGAGTGCTAGAATTACAATGTTACACATTGATTTCATTAAAACTGGATGTACAGAAAGAACTTTGTCCTAAAAAATGCTCAAATATCTCACAAGAAAATTTCCTCAGCCACTCGCACCCTAACATATTTCTCTTTGAGAGAATATTTTTGGTTGAGATAACAGATCATTTTGTGTATGGTTCAACCCTGTTCCCATCTTTTATCAAAACCCATCCATATGCTGGTATGGTTATTTGTAAGGTATCTTCCTTACAAGTTCTTAGTATTCAAAAACGAAAATGCCCCAAGGCTTACAGCTACCAGCCAAGCCCTCAGCCAGTCCGAGAGGGCTGGGGTCTCTCCCTAATTACCAACGCTATTCCTTACACCAAAAACAGCCTACCCTAATACCGACCCGACCCCCCTCAACCTCCGTACTACCCACTCCTAATTGCTATGGGATATCCCCCGTCTACCCCTCCTAGAATAAATATTAATAATCGGGGTCTGACATTATTATTTAAGATTGATGCAAGCAGTATGTTTATTGGTCGAAGTGCAAGAAAAAATCCGTACTCATAAGGTCATAATCTACTCGTACATACATTCCCTGATTTCATAGTCTGTTTTGGAAAATTTTCAGTTAACTAAGTGTCCTTTTGTTAAGGTTCTTCTTGTTTTTTTTTTTTTTTGTTTCTTACTCCTGTTTCTTATCTCTTCTAGTGTCTGGTAATTGCTTAAAAAATATTAAAAACTGTTTGATAACTATTTTTTAAAATTTTAAATCCTTTTATCTTATATTTATTTTTTTAATATTTATTATACATTTTATAAGTCGTGATAAAATAATATTTTTATTGAGGTCTAGTACTACAAATAGGAGCGGGAAACTTGGTTTCGCTAATTTTTGTAAAGTTCTGAGAACATTCCAAAACGAAAAACAGGAACAGGAACAGTGAACAATTGCTTATTTTTTCTCAAAACCTGAAGGAACATTACCAAACATATCTTAAAATTTTATCTTCAACCCAACATATTTTATGTTCTTGACAGTACTTGGGGGATATGGCACTGGCTGAGTTAGGGGAGGGCTGCCCCTTGCTCAAGGATATAGTATTGTCCCACTGTCACCAGATAACAGATGCGGGTTTAACACATTTGGTGAAGAGATGCAGCATGCTCGAATCGTGTCATATGGTTTATTGTCCCGGCATCACCGCAGCGGGGGTCGCCACTGTCGTTTCTAGCTGCCCAAGCATAAAGAAAGTTCTGGTTGAGAAGTGGAAGGTGAGCGAGAGAACAAAACGACGTGCAGGCTCTGTCATTTCCTACCTCTGCGTGGACCTCTAGATCGCCTTCTCGACACTGTGTTCGTGGTCATAAGGTCGAGTAACATATAACCTTACCCCAGTAAATCAATCCAGAATTCGATCGGTTTTGCTTTTCAGTTGCCATTAGTGGTGGTTTGAAGTTGAACCTTTTGTTGAAATGCTAAGATCTTGTAATGAATGAACAAGTCCTCATTTGTTTTTATTATGCTATATTTGGGGGGACGTGCACAAATATGAATTAACATAGTTTAATGGTGTATAGAACATAATCATGCAACAGTTCTAATGTGAATTGAAGAAAAATTCCACTCATTTTAGCTATTAAAAAGAAAGCTATTCTATCCTCTGTATTTATTACAAAAAGGCATTAATATACTATAACTAATGTTTTACACTACTTTCTATTTGTTTACTAGAATTTTGATTGATAATTTATTTTTAAAAATTGAAAAAATATTAATGGGTTAGTCTAGTGGTCTAAAAAGGTCCGTTATAGTGTTTTTTTTTTAAAGTAATTATAGTGTCTACCTACTTAAGATTAATATCGGCATATATACAATTATACAATTTTTTACACGCTGTTATTTAAAATTGGCACACTAGCATTTCAAAATCTATTAAGAAGTCGAACTAGTTAATTAAATCAAAATCTAATTAAAAGAAGTCCAACGAGTTAATTAAAAGAAGTTTATGGTAGGTAATTAAAAGAAAGTTGATTGTAGTCAATTTGTAATTTTGTTGTTAAGGACCATCTGAATTTAATTGTCAAAATTCAGGGAAGTTATTTATAAACAATTATCACGAGGGTAGTGCTTTTTATCTTACATAGACTTATGGACATTTTGGACATTTTTTGGTGGTTAGACAATACTATTTCACTTTCGTTATGTAGCATAAATTAGATATTTTCTTCTACCATTTGATTTTATAGATGAGATTGTGGCCAAGATTCAATATTTTATAATTAAAATTGAATTTTATTTTAATATATTAAGTTTAATTTTTGAAAATCATATCAACGTTACTACTTTTAGTAGCACAACAAATGTAGGGATAAGAGATTGAATTCACGATTTTTTTAAGAACAAAAAAAGACATTCAATTGTTGAACTATGCTCAAGATTGAATTCGATAAAATTAAAGTCTAGTCTCTATTTTTCTTTAGTAGATTAAGTTCTTAGGTTATAATTGATTAATTCAATTTAAGTTTGGCGGCAAAAAAATAGAGTTTTCCTCCAAAATAATATAGTTTAAAATTGATTTTTTTTTAAATTTTATTTTGCAAAATATATTTTGGAATGAATTTACCCGTACCAAGGCTTCCAATGAATGAATTTGCCAGTTCCAACACCAATAGACAGCACCGCTTCCCAGTCGTCCTCATCCATCCTTCAAGGCATTCCCTGAACCGGTAGTTATTGAGAATCCGTCGCGGAGAAGAAGCCATGCCTGATGGTTGCAGCATCAGAGCCATATGGATCTTCAGCAACTTCGACGCCGTTATTTTCTCCAGGTTACCTTCTGCTCATCTGAGTTTCCTTGAGCGCGCGAACAAGGATTCGTGTTGTTTTGATGTTTTCTTCTCTCTCAATTTGATTCTTTACTTTCCGTAGCTTCGCAATTGAATAGCTCGATCTTTTCTTTCTTTTCATCACACCAGAGTTCACCCGTTTGTTTGTTTGTTTTCGAACTAGCGATGCTTGCTCGTATAGCGAATCATCGTTTCTTCTTTCTATTGAATCGTACTTCGACAAACAGAGAATTATTTCCTCGTCGGTGACTAGTTTTTCATTTCGATGTTTCTGGTGGATCTTTTTTGGTGAGGCATTTCAGAGGAGAACTGAATACGAGAAACATTGCTGTAAGGCTAAGAATGTGGTTGTATGTTCAATAATGCTGGTTTCTTCATAGTTCAGTAGCATTGTATTCGAATTTCACATTCAGTTGACTCTCTAAATCCTTTCTCGACACGAGAACTTGAAAATGCGGTTTGATATCGGCTCTACTTTTCAGGAGGTTTCCAGTGGTGGAGAGGCGGTGGCGAACAGCATGCAAGACTCAGAATGATCAATGTATTTCAGATGACCTTACATCGAGCGTATCTCCGATACTTCCTAATGATTCAGAGTTAGCTGCTGCGCTTGTTGAGAGAAAGAAGAGGTTAGTTGAGATTGTTATGACTTCCAGTCAGATTTATATTTTTCGCGTTCAAAATTTCGTTAGGAAATTATTTCGTCCTCACTTTCTAATTATTCAACGGCCTAGTTGTAGTGCGCTAGTTTTTAGTGTCTTCATTGTGATGCACGTCAAATTTAATATCAATCTATCACCTACAGTAGGTTTTCTGGTGTTGCTGATTTTAGGATATAGTAAATACAAATCCTTGTCATCACTTAGTGTTCTGTCACCACGAAATGTAATATAAATCTATCACTCACAGTTAGTTGTATTGGTGATTTCAGGATATACTATATATACAAGCTTTTGTCGTCACTGTATGGTGTGAAGTATGATTTTGTTCTCATGAGTCTTTGTCATCACTAAATGTGATATCAATCTACCACTTACAGTAGATTTGCTGGTGTTTCTGGCTTCACGATATAGTAAATACAAGTCTTTCATGTCTAAAGTACATGGCGTGATCTATAGTTGCTTTTGACGAAGGCTTAACGTGAATCAGATTTATGGAAATATGCTGTTGTTAATTGTTGTTCCTGAAAATTTCAGAAAAAGGATTTGTAGTCATAAATGATAATCTGTTTCTTCTCATGTTTGCTCAAATGTGACGAGTGCTTGGTACTTCCCTTTCATCCTCGTCTCTCTTCATTGCTATCAATTTTTCCATCTTTGTACAGAGAGGGATCTGCCCATGGGTTTAGAATTCGCATTGTTCAGTCATCTGAAGGAACTGATTCTTGGGTCGACGACCCTATTACCCGATATATCATAGGCTTTCATGTGAAGAAAGAAGAAGGGGATAGTATCTTTATATGGCCACTAAAATTGCACATAAAGAATTATTATTCCATTCTTGTGTTGCCATTAGTTGAACCGAAGCACGTAAAACAATATGCAAGTTTGGGCAGAAGATCTGATTGAAGAAGTGCCATTGGAACAGAAAGTTCTTTATCTTCCCTCCTGCTTGATCTTCCTTCCATCACAGGGTACGGTAAGTTGTTTACTCTTTTTTATTAGGAGTGAAATAGCAAGTCTAGGATTTCATAGAACCCGAAGAGTACCAGTTTTGTTATCATTATTCTACTAGCGCATTCATGGTTGCGCTTGCTATTGGCGATGTAATCACTGGTGATGGTTGAACCTGATGTCCTTGTCAGTGCATCTCCGTCTGTAGGAGGGTTATTGGATTCATTAACAGGCAGCATAGGAATATCAGGAATCTCTTCCAGGGCAAAACCTGTAGCTTCTCCGAGCCCATCTCCCCTTCCTTCTAGCAACACTGCAGCAGGAGCTCTTAATTCAGATGCCCCTAGGCTTTTGGATAAAGATGCACTTAGGACTTCCATAAGCAGTTCAATGCCCTTTGGTTGGTATTTGGTATTACTCTATATCACTTTTTTTAAGAAAATGTTTCTTTGTTGGTGAATATTCATGTACCTGACTGGTTTTTTTCTTGCTTGCTAATTTTATGCTAGGAACACCCTTGGACCTAATCTATACCAATATATTTTCTATCAAAGTAAATGGTTTTTCTTCATCGGATCTGCCTCCTGCTGTTCTTAAACAGCCAGCATGGAAGCCATATCTATATAAAGGGAAGCAACGAGTGATACTTACTATTCATGAGGTCATTAATGCAGCTATGTATGACAGGGATGAAATTCCAGATAAAATAGCAGTTTCTGGTCAAATAAATCGTCGAGCTGAATTAGAAGGGTTGCCTGATGTTTCGTTTCCCCTGGCACGGTTGAATACAGCTCGTGTTGAGGGTTTATCATTCCATCCTTGTGCCCAAGTTCCTGAACATGGCATAGATAAGCAAGCTGTGATGTTTTCTCCCCCGCTTGGTAATTTTTTTTTAATGCGTTATCAGGCAATATGTGCTTCCGGACCTCCTGTTAAAGGATTTTACCAATTGTCCATGGTCTCTGAGGACAAAGGTGCTTTTTTGTTTAAGTTGTGCTTGATGGAAGGTTATAAAGCTCCTCTATCTATGGAATTTTGTACTGTGTTTATGCCTTTCCCTAGAAGAAGGATTATATCTTTTGATGGAACTCCTTCAATTGGAGCAGTTTCAACTACCGAGCATTCAGTTGAATGGAAAATTTTAACAAGTGGACGAGGGCTCTTGGGTAAAAGTATTGAGGCAACTTTTCCTGGAACAATTAGATTTGCACCATGGCAAATCCAAAGATTGCATTCTTCAAGTTCTGTCTCTGCTAGTGTAGAGGAAGTAGATAGTGATGTTAAGACTGAAAGTGCAAGCAATGTTGTCAATATTGAGGAGTTTTTAATGGAGAAAATGAATAAGGATCTTCCTCCAGTCGAACTAGAGGAGCCATTTTGCTGGCAGGCATACAATTATGCCAAGGTAAACTCTTTTTCTGCACTAGTAAGCATGGCATCTGAATTTTGCCATAAGGTTATCGTGCTGTAATTCTCCTGTTAAGTTGAATGACCTCATGCTTCCTATCATTATTCTGCAACGTTAGAAATTAGAATGTTGTAATTCCTACACCTCTACCCCAGATGAGCGTTTCAAAGAGTTCAATAACAAACTAACTCGAAATGGTGAGAAGGTTGAATTCGTGCAAGTATTAAACATGGTTTTGAAAATTTGTTCTCCACATCTGTTCATAAGTTTCTCGCATGATCAAAGTCTTGTAGCAGCATCAATTCCAATCCACCATGGATATAGCTTGGATGCCATGACATGAAACCTTCTGCATCTTCTTCTTGCTTTTTGCTCATGTTAAGAATCAAGGTTATCATAAAATGATTTTCATATGATAATTGGTAAACGAGGCGTATATACTTTGTGAAATGTCTCCCATATCTGTGCTTGTCTGATGGTACGTTGGCAATTTTTCTCTGCTCATATGGAAGTTCTGTTCACGAGGGAGCTGCTATGCGTGATCATTGATATTCTTCTTATGTTGTTTCCTGTATGTTCAAAAGGCATCCCAATGCACATGCTGTAAATGGGAAAGCCCATATTTAAGACTAAGGTGTCATGATTTGATGGTTGGCTGTTACTAATTTGATCGTTTGAAATGCTGACCTTTTTTGGATTCTAATCCTCAGGTATTGTTCAAGATTTTAGGGGTATCATCGTCAGGAATATCTATTGATCC